CCCCCCCAGATCTCTGGGTGCCCCCCAGATACCTGGGACCACCCCGGATACCTGGGTCCCCCCCTGGACCCATCTCCACTCTACACCCTCATTCCTCATTAGTGGGGGGCTAATTAGCCACGGTGGCAGCGGGGGAGGGGCAGGGGCCACGGCAGGGGAGGGGCTGTAAATATTTGGTGCCGAAATGGAGATTTTTACACTAATATATAGAAGTTTTTGGGGTTGTTTGTGTCTGTCTCAGCTGTGTGAGGGTGTCCAGACCCCTGGGTCCCCTCCTTGGGTGCCCGGCCACCTGGATCCCCTTGTGGGGTGCCCAGACGCCTGGGTCCCCCACCTTGGGTCCCCAGATACCTGGATCCCCTTGTGGGGTGCATGGATACCTGGATCCCCCCCTTGGGTGCCTGGGGACCTGGATCCCCCCGTGGGGTGTCCAGACCCCTGGGTCCCCTCCTTGGGTGCCCAGACACCTGGATCCCCCCCTTGGGTGCCTGGGGACCTGGATCCCCCCGTGGGGTGCATGGACACCTGGATCCCCTCGTGGGGTGCCCAGATACCTGGGTCCCCCTTTTGGGTGCCCAGACACCTGGATCCCCTCGTGAGGTGCCCAGATGCCTAGATCCCCTTGTGGGCTGCGTGGATGCCTGGATCCCCTTGTGGGGTGCATGGATACCTGGATCCCCCCCTTGGGTGCCCGGACACGTGGGTCCCCTCGTGGGGTGCCCGGACGCCTGGGTCTCCCCTCTGGGTGCCCAGACACCTGGATCCCCTCGTGGGGTGCCCAGATACCTGGGTCCCCCTTTTGGGTGCCCGGACCCCTGGATTCCCCCCTTGGGTGCCCAGACACCTGGGTCCCCCCCCGTGGGTGCCCGGACACCTGGGTCCCCTCCTTGGGTGCCCGGACCCCTGGATTCCCCCCTTGGGTGCCCAGACACCTGGATCCCCTCGTGGGGTGCCCAGATACCTGGATCCCCTTGTGGGCTGCGTGGATGGCCTAGATCCCCTTGTGGGCTGCGTGGATGCCTGGATCCCCTCATGGGCTGCCCAGACACCTGGATCCCCTCGTGAGGTGCCCAGATGCCTAGATCCCCTTGTGGGCTGCGTGGATGCCTGGGTCCCCCTTTTGGGTGCC